GGTGACCACGCCGGCGAGGGGGGCAGTGAGGGTGATCAGGCCAGCAGGCAGGTGAGCAGTTAGGAGCCAGCGTCCAGGATTGTGAGAGGGATGTCCGACTGCCAGTTTAGGCCCAATCCCCGGGATTGGGCCTAAACTGGCATTTGGACAACCCCTGAGGGGTCCCAGATTGGAGAGGGTGCAGGCTGGACTGAGGGGACCCCACCCTCCGTACACAAATTTCGTGCACCAGGCCTCTAGTTTAACAATAAAATACAGAAAATTGAAACCTGACTCAAAGAAAGAGTTCATGAGTGAGCCCGCCATGATAAAAGAACTGATGGTGAGATAAGTACTGAATTAGTTTAATTATAGAATTCAAATACAAACAATTACAGAAATTTAAGATTTGAGAACAGAATGTTAAGTGTTCCAAACATGGGCTAAGAAAAAGTAGCAATTTAACAACAATCCCAGTCTTAAAAATGAGGAGATGGGAAGATGTGAGAGTGTTGAATTCTTTCAGACAAAAACAAACAGAACTGTCTAATACTGAAACCAAAATGGAAACGTTGTTTTTAACCATTAGCAAAAATGTTTAGGGTTGGTAGTATCTAATGTTGACAAAGACACTGGAAAATGGACTCTCTTTCCACACCGTTAGTGGGAGAGTAAATAGGTATAAAATCTAAGTAGGCAATTTGGTGAGATGTACATAAATTTTGAATACACATTTATAAATACACAATTCTAGAGAGAAGTACCATCATTTTTATTTGAAATCTATCTCCACAATCTGTATGAATTTGCCTTCTCCCCAGCCTGCTATGGCTAAGCCCAAAGACACTGGGAAAACCAACACAAGAACCAATCAGAGATAAAAGCTGAATGACAGGAATAAATTATCTCTATCACTCATTCTTTCTCTTCATATAGTTTACATTATTAGCTTTTTTTTTTGATGAATTGTCTTACATTTAATCGATCAATATTACAAAGTGTTCATCATGCTACATACAACCTCATAACATCCAGGAGTGTGGGTGTCTATAAAAGGGGGGGGATTATTAGCTTCTTGGAAGGCAGAATCTAGATCTTATTTTCATGCAAGTCTATAGAATGTAATGTAGTTATCAATTACAAGGTAGTTTTAAGATGCATCTATTTATTTTAACAATTCTTTAGGGGGAAAAAAATTACCCAAAGGAAATAGGTTATTAAGCAACTTTGTCTGTTACATGTTATCACACTCCAGATACAAGAACTGACCTCAAAATTTAAATATGCTTACTCCTAGCTCAAGGTTGTTGATAACACTGCTTTTGAAATAAGCTGGTTTATTGGACTTACCTGTGAGCCAAACTGTGCAACCACGAAAGCCACCTCTGGTCCCCACCACCTGTCCTCTCTTGTTCCTGCTGACATGATGAGCTTGGTAGGTGACATTAGTTGCTCTCTGCATCCCCTGGAAAAAGGGAAAAAAAAGAAAGAATTCTTGTTCACTTGAATCTTTTAAAAGATAAACATATGGACTCCATAAAGGAGCATCTTTCCATCCAGCTCTTCAACTTCCAGAGATAGTCTTTTCTAAAATCTGCCTGAGAGGTGCCTAAGGTTCAAGATCTCTTTCCACAGCTCCCCCCTCCCCGTACCCTGCAGTACACAGGAGGAGAAGGCACCTCTGCCCATCTGAGTCTTGCTATCACTCACTGCCCACACACACAGTTGGACAATTCTTTTAATAGGCACACCACAAAAACCACCCCACCCATCCCCACTGATCACCTCATTAATAGATGTATTTCCAATATATATTTATATGTTCAATAACCACTTATAAAAATGATGAGTCTCCTGACCCATTTCTTTCCAATAGGTTGATGAAGCAAACACAACTTTCCAGCTCTGCACTTCCAATATCTTAAGCAAAATACAGGGTTTCAAACAGGGACATCTGCATCTCCTGGAAGCAGAGGCACCTCCTCCTGTTTTAGCTCCCTGGCAGGCTGCTGAGGAGGAGCAGACAGGAAATGGGGGAAGCAACAAGGAGGTTGCCTACAAGTTAGTGTCCTGTACTTGCACAACAGGTTTGACTGGGTCATTTTGTGTGGGGATATTTTTCCAAGTTACTTTACTTTGGGGCAAAAAGAAACATGTATCTGGATGAATTTTAATTCATTTTAACTTGTCTTCTGCTTTCCTTAGTAAACTGAGTAGAATGTACAAAAATTATCTGACAAGCAATAATCTACTGAAGATATGGCTGAGAGAAAATATAGATAAGCAGAGATCTTTTGCTTTAATCACTAGAAAAGAATGCTCCTACATTTAAAAAAAAAAAATCAGGCAGCAAATATGGCAGTCTGGGTACGAGGAGGCTTATTGTTTATGTATGTTTGATACTTTTCAATAAAAAAATAAACTTTAAAAAAAAGGGATGTGCCACATTTTCCTCCCTCCCAGTTCTTCAGAATAAATCAAAAAGCACTTTTTAAAACTACTGAAACTGCAAGGTGCTAGAATATGCCTGAACTTCATAAAGCACCTAAAGGCCACTTCCATATGCAATCTTCTTCCCGCTGCCCTCCCCCTTTCTCTTCCTTCTCCACCCATTCCAGATAAATCCTTCCTATAATTCTAACAGAAAAATATAACATGAGTGACTAAGGACCAAGAGTGAGTTAAGTCAGTATTTCCTTCTGACTCTACATTCCTAGTCTTTGTCTTCAATGGCGTCGTTATGTGTTATAGACCCTGTAACATTTACTATCCGTATCATTTGTTTATTTATAGACCCTTTAATACTTTTAGGTGTCTTTTTGTGCATATATTTTTTGACTTGCTTGGGGAGACAGATCAGGCACTCTGAGTGACATACAGTCCTTTGTTTTTTTCCCACAATGCCCATCCTCTCTTCTGGTGCCTAGCCAGTGTTCAGTAAAAGTTAGATACAAGGCATTTATTTTACAGCATGATTTGTATTCTCTGCATAACATGCAAATGAAATGATGACTAAACCCTTCAGAAATCTTAAATCTAGCAGAACTGGGCAATTCATTTCAAAAGAATCCACGACTAAATGACTATCAGTCCTGTTGCCGGGCTAGACAGAGTCACATGGCCTCTGATGTCCCACTGCACCTTTGCTACACATTCTACAAACTGCTGTCCTCATCACACACACAAGGGGCCCTGTGCTTCTTTCTGACCCACCTTAATTTCCACGTGAGCTGTTTTGTTATTTTAGCCACTCCCTATGGGGCAAATTAAGTTTTCCTACGATGGCATTTAGAGAATTTCATGCTTTGCGACTTTACTAGGATTTTATAAAGAACCCCGCATTTTTAAGTGAAATTTGTAAAGGCACAGAGCATATACCAAATATCAAGAATAATTCAGGACTTGCACTTCTCTCACCCATCCCACAATCTACCTTAAACTGACTGCTCAACAATGTCTCTCTCCAAAGAGAATCCCTGTAACAGGCACATTCCTTTTAAGTGCCAAGACATAATTTGGATAACACTGAAGAGATAGTAATATACAATAAGAAGAAACACTCAGTTCACAGTTATTGATGACTGAAACCTTTAGTTCAGTTACTGATAACTGAAGTTAGTTTTTGGACGATACCAGGCCAAACAGCACAAGTGACGATCATACATCCTGAAGGTTGAGAAAACTTGAGAAGGCTACACATAAGCCTTGCAACTACATGCACAAGTAGCAACACGGACTGCATGGCAGGAAGCGGATCTCAGGCCCTACCCCAAACCTCCTGAATGGGAACCAAATGACCAGCATGCTTATCTGATCGACATCAACTGTCAGGCATGCTCTGTGTATATATGTTGTCTCCACAACTATTTTGTTTTAAAAACTAAAAATATTTAAATATTTACCTAATAGATTTTTTTATATCAATACCTTCAACGGAAGGGCCCTGGACAACCTCCAGGTGGGGAGTCCAGCCCTAAAAGATTCCTAGAGGTCAGAAATGAGTCTGGAACTACCTGTTCATTCATTCAGTATTGTTGATTGATCCCTTCTAGATACTAGGGACAAAAGAGAACATACATTTCAGGGAAGGACACTGACTACAAACAGATAAAGAAATCATTACATGGTCACAGACCATTGCCTCAACCATGATGACAGCAGGACAGTCCCCACATATATGAAGGGAGTTCAGAGGCTGGCAGCCAAAAGCTCACTAACTTCTACCGGAAAGGTTGAAATTAACTATTACAACCATGAGTGCACAGAAAAACTTCTACACAATTGCTCACAGCAGCATTATTTGTAACTAGAGGCCCGGTGCACAAAATTCGTGCATGGGGTGGGGGTCCCCTCAGCCCAGCCTGCACCCTCTCCAATTCAGGACCCCTCGGGGGATGTCCAACTGCCGGTTTAGACCCGATCCCAGGGATCGGGCCTAAACTGGCAGTCAGACATCCCTCTCACAATCCTGGACCACTGGCTCCTAACCGCTCACCTGCCTGCCTTCCTGGTCACCCCTAACTGATCCCCCTGCAGGCCTGATCGCCCCTCACTGCCTCTGCATGCCGCCTGATCGCCCCTAACTGCCCCCCGCCCCCCGCCCCCCGCCAGCCTGGTCGCCCCCAATTGCCCCCCCTGCCGGCCTGGTCACCCCACACAGCCTGCTGTTCAGTCGTTTGGTCGTCCCTCACTGCCCCCCCCTGCCAGCCTGGTCACCCCACACAGCCTGGTGTTCAGTCGTTTGGTCATCCCTCACTGCCCCTCCTGCTGGCCTTGTTGCCCCACTCAGCCTGTTCGGTCGTCTGTTCAGTTGTGATGGCCCCTGGCTCTTTATATATATAGATGGCTCTTTATATATATAGATTATTATATACGTTAGCCAAAGGTAGAAATACTCATATGAACAAAGGGTGGTATATCCACACAATGGAATATTCAACTATATAAAAGGTTGAACTACTGATACATGCTGCAACGTGAATTAACCTTGAAAACAAAATGTTAAGTGAAAGAAAACACACACAGAAGGCTACATACTGTATTATTCCATTTATAGGAGTCTAGAACAAGGAAATCCGAAGACACAAAGTGTATTATTGGATGTCAGGGGCTGGAAGTGGGGGGAGCAGGAAGGTAGGGAACAATTACTAATGGGTATAGGGTTCCATTAGGGGTGATGAAAATATTCTCAAATTACATATTGGTGAGGGTTGCACAACTCTGTGAATATACAAAGACACACTGAATTGTACACTTAACACAAAAGAGAGATAAAGACAAAGGGAAGGGATGCAAACATCAAAGAAAGTAGAATAAGAGAAAGCAACCTAATGGCTGCATTCTTCTGAAGTAAGAAATGAACTTCTATAAAATAATGTATAATATCTTCACTAGTTTCACTCACTTAGTTTTACTCACTTATTTGGTAAAGAACTGTGTCCTTAGGAAATGATATTTCACTAAAATGATTGCCTCTTAGGTAAGTAACAAAAGAAGCATTATACTCTTCATGTGAACTAATTACTTAGTACAGTGGGGCCTTGACTTAGGAGTTTAATTCGTCCTGAGACCGAGCTCATTAAGGAGCTCGTTAAGGAGCTCGTTAGGGAGCTCGTTAACTCAAATTTACTCTGTCAACTCAATGCAAAAAATCAGCCCAGAGACAGCTGGTATCTCAAAAAACTCAGGACACTGGTAAGTCAGGACACTGGTAAGTCAAGGCCCCACTGTAATGTGTTTTTAAAACAATTCAGGGTTGGAGTTTTATTGTTGGTATGCTATGGGTAATTGATCCATCTCAGAGCAAGAGATGGTAACTTCCAAGTGGGTGGAAAAGGGAATTCTAGTATCAATTGGATTTTATTTTAAATTACTACTTTTGCATATAAGTCTTACATAACATTTTCCCCTTTTGTTAAGTCAAAGCCGAGAGTAGAGCAAACTTTCTCAGCTTCATAAATAATGACTTTCTGGCCCAGATAATCTACTGTTGAAGCTATCATGTGCATATAGAATGTTTAGCAGCATCTCTAGCCTCTACTCGCCAGAGGCAGGAGCGTATGCACAGGGACACACACACACACACACACACACACAAATTGTAACAACCAAATATCTCTCCAGATATTGCAAAATGTCCCCGGGGGTGGCAAAATTTCATCTGGTTGAGAACCACTGGTAAAGACCTAATCCTCAAAATTCTATGTAACAAAGCCAGGCTGGGGAAGTTTATTTCATGTTTCAAATTTAGAGAAGCAACTGTGCTAAGGGGAGGCTAACAATGCTGGGTGCCCTGCGAGGAGCCAGAGCTCAGAATTGCCTACAATCCTGATAGTAGCCACTATCTCTTGAAATGTCCTTGTCCTGGTAAGAAAGTAAAGATAAAACCAGAATACAAATACACATAGATAAGTAGAAAAAATGTTGGCACCCAGCCCAAAGTGACTATCTAGACCCGCCCTGTTGTTCTGAGATGATGAAAATGGTCTATACTGCATGTCCAATACAGTGGCCAGTAGCTACATGAGGCAACACAGCACTTGAAATGTGGCTAGAGAAACTAAGAAACAGAATTTTTTATTTTATTTAACTTTGGCTAAATTTTAAGTTGCCACAGGTGACAGGTGGCTACCAGATTGGACAATACAGAGCTAGACCTTGCTATCATTCTTCTTCTGTTGTTGTTAGTCAACATTACAGAATACATTCTTGGTGGCCTAGGCCAGTGGTCGGCAAACCGCGGCTCTCGAGCCACATGGGGCTCTTTGGCCCCTTGAGTGTGGCTCTTCCACAAAATACCACGTGCAGGCGCGCACGTACAGTGCAAAGTTGACTTAAAACTTTAAGTAAAGTTTATTAAGTTAATTTTAGGGAACGTTGTGGAGTGAAAGAAGATGTAGTGTCGAGGATTGAGAAAGGTATGTTGAGATGGTCTGGACATATAGAGAGGATGAACGAAAGGAGATAGACGAAACAAGTATACAAGACGAGTGTGGATGGGGGAGTTGGAAGGGGTCGACCTCAGCGAATGTACCTCAATCAGATTGTAGCAAAGGCCAGCTTAGGAGTACTCTAATTAAGTTAATAACAATGTACCTACCTATATAGTTTAAGTTTAAAAAATTTGGCTCTCAAAAGAAATTTCAATCATTGTACTGTTGATATTTGGCTCTACTGACTAATGAGTTTGCCAACCACTGCCCTAGGCAGTTTGGCTCCATGGATAGAGCGTCAGCCTACGGACTGAAGGCCAGGTTTGATTCTGGTCAAGGCCACATATCTTGGTTAGAGGCTGCTGGCCCTGGTCGGGGGCATGCAGGAGGTAACCAATCGATGTGTCTCTCTCACATCGGTCTTTCTGTCTTTCTCTTTCCCTTCTACTCTCTCTAAAAATCAATAGAAAAAAATATCGTCAGGAAAGAAAAAGCGTACATTCTTGGTAAAAAGTCCAGCTTTTCCTCTTTGGGCAATTATTCCTGCAATATCTCCCTGGCTTCTAGGATGGGAAGATCAGTACCTGCCCCTGACAACAGCCAGGCCCATGCTCCAAAGAATGACTATACAGGCCTCTCGGTTGGTCTTCAATATGCTGTGTGTTCCATTCCTGCACTCATTTCATTTTTGTACTACCTCAGTCTCCCCCAAAATCCAGAATGGGCAGCTGGCCTTCGATGAAAAGCATCTAACAGTATAAGGGGCAAAATGTTCAGAAAAGGTAGAACTAGTAAAGGGAAAATTATCTCATTCATTTATTTGTTGCTTTTTAATTAACAGTCTCTCAAGTAGAATGTAATACCCATGAGAGCAGAACCCCTTTCTGTTGTTTTACCACTGCATCCCCAACATGTGGAACAAAGCATGTCCCAGGCATGTTCCAAGGCATGTTCCATGCATACCTCAGAGATATCTCGGGTTTGCTTCCAGGCTACCACAATAAAACCAGTAACAGAAATGTTTGGTTTCGCAGTGCACATAAAGATTATCTTTATACTACAATACAGTCTATTTAGTGTGCAATTGCATTATGTCTTTAAAAAAAACTGCCTAACTAATTTAGAAATACATTATTGCTAAAAATGGTAACCATCAACTGAGTCTTCACTGAGTGATAATCTTTGAGCTGAAGAAAGGTCTTACCTCAATGTTGATGAAAACACAGTATCTGTGAAGTGCAATAAAATGAGGTATGCCTGTAATTCATTTAAACCTCATTATAACCCTATCTGTTCTCCAGGGCTTCCACATCTGGAACAATGTCTAATTTCTCCAGCACACGGTCTTCCTGGAACACCAGTTTTATCATGTAATAGGAACATTAAAGGTGTATGGGTTCTTCAAATTTGTGTCACTCTCAATCCTGGAAACACGGTGGGTTTCCCTACTGGGGCAAAAAAAGACTTACAAGGCCCTGAAAATTAAAAATTCTAGCCTCATCAAAAATCTCCCACAGAATGCCAGGCCAGTGTGGCTCAGCAGTTAAGCATCAACCTATGAACCAGGAGGTCACGTTTCCATTTCCGGTCAGGGCACATGCCTGGGATCCATAGTGTAGGGCATGCAGGAGGCAGCCAATCGATAATTCTTTCTCATCACTAATGTTCCTATCTCTTTCTCTCTCCCTCCCTTCCTCTCTGAAAACAATAAAAATACGTTTTTGAAAAAATGTAATAATAAATATATATTTTCAAAAAAATCTCCCACAGAATCAAGTCTTAACACTAGAAGCAAACATTAACAACTGCATAACCTAGTCCTAGCCAGTTTGGATCAGTGGATAGCGCGTCGGCCTTCGGACCAAAGGGTCCCAGGTTCGATTTTGGTCAAGGGCACATACCTTGGTTGCAGGCTCCTCCCTCGCCTGGGCCCTGGTTGGGATGTATGCAGGAGGCAACCAATCGATATGTTTCTCCCACATCAATGTTTCTCTCAGTCTTTCCCTCTCTCTTCCACTCTCCCTAAAAATCAATGGAAAAATATCTTCGGGTGAGGATTAACAAAAACAACTGCATAACCTAGTCCCAGCTTATCGAATTTTATCTCCACTCCTCAACAAAAACTCTCTAGAGTAGTTAAACTCTTAGTTGGTCTTGGAATAAAAAAATAATTCTTATTCCCAGCCCTTATTCACACAGCTCCTCTCTGCCTCAGAAACTTGAATACATTTCTCTTTTGTAAACCCTCCCCAAAAGACCCAGGCTAAATTAATCTCTCCTCCAAATTGAAAAAAAAAAAAAAAATTTGTCTTACACCACGACTGTGGTCAAAATGACAAACTCATCACCTGGCAAGGTCATTTACAACCCCAATCAGGCCATGAGCAACAAGAATGCAAACACTGAGTCCCTCATTTTTCATCTTTTCTACGTCTGGCACAGGTCTCTACAAAAAATATGCACTTGTTTGGCAAATGGAATAGTAAATAAATGAGCAACAGATGGTGTAACTGAAATTACCTTTAAATACTTTAACTGAGTCCCCTATTCCCCTAACCAGGAAATACTCAGGGTAACAGGAGCAGAGTCAACAATTTTATGACACTTTGTTGCACTTTCAAATTATCTTCTTTACCCTTCAAAATAACCCTGTGAAGAACACACGATCATACCCTTCTTTAGTCAATTGAGGTGTAAAGAAGTAAAGTTATTTTCCTCAAGATCACACTCTAGTAAATGGCAAAGCTGGTACCAGAGACCAAGCCAGTCGTCCAGTAAGTGCTCTTTCCAATGCCTGAACCCGCCTTCCCTTAAAACCTAAGGAAAAGATAATAACTAAAAGGAGAAAGCAATCAGGTGAGCATCCCTGGCAACAACAGATATGGAAAACGACTGACTGCAAATGAACATTTGCCTGAAATGATTTGCAAAGGCTGCCTTTAAACCTCATGATTCTGCTGCACTGTGAAATAAAAATGTCCACCTAAACCTAAAACCAGCGCCTTTTCAAAGAGCCAAATGGACACCACCTCCCCACCCCACCCAGAAGGGCACTAATGGGTTTGGATTAAGGCTGTTTCTTACCAAAGAATAAGGAAGGAAGCAACCTCAATGAGGACACACCATCCGACCATCAAAGCCAACTGGCTGTCGTTGCTAAACGTTATAAACCCATGAGTCTTCCCACACCTTACTGTCTCCAGGAATCGAGTCTTGGAACTCCATGTAATGTTAGACATTCCCATTTTACACCGAGCCACAAAGAACCTCAGTTCAGTGAATTCTCAACTCATGAATGGATACATTGTTGGGCACCCTCTCTTCACACCGAAGCGCAGAAATGGAAAGACTTGGAAGTGGACACAACCCTGGGTAACTGCGCTGGCAGAGCCAAGAAAAACCAGCAGCTCACCCAAAGACGCCCGCCTCCGCCTCCGCCTCCGCCCTCTGCAGACCTTCACGCCACTCCAGGGGATGCAACCAGCTCCCCTTTCAAAGGTGCAGGTTTCAGCAGCCGCCGGCTCTCTCCGCAAAGACTTTAATTCGAGGTCTCATCTGAGCCGAGGAACCGGGTAAGGGGACGTTCTTCCCACGGAGGGCGGGTCGGACCGCAGCACGGCCAGCCCCCGACCCGCACCACCCACACCCCGGTTGGACGGCGCCGCGGCCTCTGGTACCCATCCCCGGCGCTCCGGGGAGGATGCAAAGGAGGCGGAAGGCAGGCAGGGGCTCCGGAACCAGCGGCAGCCGGAGGCTCCCAGCCTCCTCGGTCCCCACTCACCCAGTTCTGCACGTTGTTGCTCAGCTTGACTTTCTTGTACAGGCTCCCGGGTCCCTCCATGGCCGCAGAGCGCGCGCGGGTGCCGGGATTCTCAGCTCCCGGAGGCCGACAGGAGCAGGGAGGGCTGGCGGGGCGGGGCGGGGCGGGGCGGGCGGGAGGCGGGGTCACCTGGCGCCGGCGCCCGCGCGCGCGCGCAGACGTCCGCTCGTGCTCGCGACTCCGGCCGCCCGCTAGCGTGTCAGCTGCCGCTCGCGCACGTCCAGGGCGGAGGTATGTGGGGCGGGGCGAAGCGGAAGGCGGGACCTAGGGAAGGTTGGGGGCGGGGCTTCGAGCGCCCGCGAGGCTCCTCCCTCTTCATTCTCAGGAAGGGACGGGGCCTGGGAAAATCACCCTGGGACGCCCAGGCCTCTGGGTCTGCCTTGCGCTGCGCCTGCGCGGGGGCCTGCCGGGGTCCAGGGAGCCGGCCTCCTGGGGAATGGCTGCTGGCTCTCCGCACCAATGCTCTTGGGAGAAGACATGGATGTGAAATTCTGCCCTTCTGGCTTTTCCTCCAAAACCAGGCTACCAGCCTCGTGAGCCAAGGCACATTTAAAAATGGATTTTCCATGCTTGCAAAGGGAAGGATTGATTCACTGAACTTACTTTCCACAAGTTCCTCTTCACTTTAACCTTCTGCTCAACGCATATTATGTTTACAAAGTTGATGCGCCATCTCTGGACATCCATAATTAATATCTCGACTGGGCTTAGAGGTTATTTGCAAAGTGTCCTCCTTCCCCCACGATAATGGAGAAACTATAATGGAATAAGCTGCTAAGAGAGTCACTTCAATAGGCAGGAGGCCATTACGGAAGTGGGGCCTGTGAACATTGTGCCTCGGTTCTCAGAGCTGCCATAAGTCACTAACCTGTTGCTAACCTCTGCTCAGGGCTGAGCCATAAACATGCAGTGGTTCTCAACCTTTCTAATGCCGCGACCCTTTAATACAGTTCCGCATGTTGTGGTGACCCCCAACCATAAAATTATTTTCGTTGCTACTTCATAACTGTAATTTTGCTACTGTTATGAATCCTAAGGTAAATATCTGATATGCAGGGTGTATTTTCAGGGTTCGCGACCCACAGGTTGAGAACCGCTGTTAGAGCAACTGCTGCATGGAAATGTATGGACTTTCCTACTTCCTTGTAGTTTTTCCCTCCCTCATTTGCATATTGGAACTAGCCATCCCTGTTAACCGAGCTTTCATTTTCATGGAAGAATTACACTGTGGTTTCTGCCTTTGTAAACCTTGCCTTCCTTTGTTCTCTCCAGAGCAGTTTGGGGTACTCCCTGAATCTGAGTCTCTCGGATTCCAAAAAATAAATGCTTTTGTTGTTGTTGTTGTTGTCACAGCCTGAACCTCTTCTTTGGTTAACACCCACTTGGAAACCTCTCTTCACATCAGATTTCTGTCCAGTACTTCTCACTGACCAGGCTGAAAAGGTACCTCTATATTATTAGCTTCTCAGGAAATCCTTAGAGGACTGAAATTCAGGCTTGAGAGGGCTGCATGTTACCTTAGGGCAGTGGTTCTCAACCTTCCTAATGCCCCAATCCTTTAACACAGTTCCTCATGTTGTGGTGACCCCCAATTTCATTGTTACAAATTGAATATAATTAAGGCATAGTGATTAATCACAAAAACAATATGTAATTATATATGTGTTTTCCGATGGTCTTAGGCGACTCCTGTGAAAGGGTCGTTCGACCCCCAAAGGGGTCGCAACCCACAGGTTGAGAACCGCTGCCTTAGGGTAAAATGCCCACCTGTGGAGAACATTTTCAAGTTCACCCAGTTATTGCAGGGCTAGTTCATAGGATGAGCTAGAGGGTATGGGGGAGCTTCCTCCATGAGTTATCTCCTCTCCCATCGCCATGACTCTTAGTGCTTCCTCACAGCTTGCCCCTGGCACCAAGATAGTTAATGTGAAGCTCTGCTCCTCCATAACCCCATTCCCTCTCCCCTCAATACACATACCCCAATCTCTAAAACCTGAAGCTGCTACCTCTTGATAGCTAGCAAATACACTGAGTGGCCAGATTATTATGACCACCTGAAATTTGTAGGCAAATTAGCTATAATTTCCCGCTGAAGTTGCTAGAGGGCCAGATCATTATAAACGTCTGAATAGCACAACATACCTAAGTATCGTTGCTGATCAAGTTCATCCTATCATGTTGATGGCATATCCCAATGGAGATGGCTTCTTCCAACAAGACAATGCGCCATGCCACGGTGCTCGTATTGTGCAGGAGTGGTTTCAAGAACATGAGGGAGACTTTACCTTGCTTAGGTGGCCCCCACAATCACCAGACCTCAATCCAATTGAGCATTTGTGGGATGAAGTAAAAGAGCCATCAGGCAGCTGGTTCCACAACCATCAAATCTCATAGAACTGGACAGTGCTATTCATCAGGCATGGTGTCAGATTCCTCGCATCACCTTTCAACATCTCGTGGAGTCAATGCCAAGAAGAATTGCCACAGTATTGAAGGCAAAATGTGGCCCAACGAGTACTGATGGGGTGGTCATAATAATCTGGCCACTCAGTGTAAGTCCCCTGTTTGTTTACTAGACTGCAACTATCTCAAATTAGGCCTTTCCCATATCCAACCTGAATCACTGCTAAGCCCCTTAACTGCACATCCTCCCACCGGTGCAGCTGCTCTGCCACTCACAACATTCTTAAAACTTCTGTCAGAGTGATATTTCTAAAAGTGAAATTTGGAATTGTTACTAGACCAATCAAAATGTCTGTGGTTCCCTGTAGCTTTTTCTACAGGACTGTAGAATTGAATCGCAGTATAATTCTGAATTCTGCCAATAATAGCAATGAGCTTGGAAGAGCATCCCAAGCTTCAATAATTTAAGGACAAAGATTATCTTTAATTATCACAAAGATTATCACTATATGTAAAACATTGTGTTAAAAATTTTGATATGTTAAAATAAATGAGTAGTGACTAATGGGAAGCAGCGCCAAACACGGTGTATATTCTTTTCCCTAGATTCTTCCAGCATAATTATGATGAGATTTACCTATGTTGCTGTGCATATCAATAGTCCATTCCATTTTATGGATGATTAGTATGCCATTGTACCATGTCATGCTTTTGTTAAATTAACATTTGTTAAGTAGAGCACAGGATGCTGGATAGTGAGTTGCTATTCAACAACGGACCACAAGAGAAATTGAAATACAGACGTTTATTGCTCACAGTCCTGGCGGAGGTGCACAGCACACCTTCAGGAGCTACCTGGGAGGTCAAGGCAGGGTGCAGACAGAGAGAGGGATAGGACCTGAAGCATATGCCTTTATGAGTCTCCGCTAATGGATTCTCTGGGTTTCCCAAGCTGGGCACAAATTGTTCAAGTCAAGCTAACAAAAGCAGAGTTTAGAGAAGCTCCATGAGGCTCTCACCTAAAATGCATGCAAAGGGAAAGTCTTGGAGGCAGGAGAGAGTGATGATCACAAGAGCTGTCGAGGAAGTCATATCCAGAATTTGTATTTGCTTGTGACTCAGCAAGCTATTATCTAGAACAGCGTTTTTCAACCCTTTTCATCTCACAGCACACAGAAGCTAATTACTAAAAACTCTGGGGTACACCAAAAAATATATTTTTTGCCAATCTGACAAAAAAATATATAATTTGATTCATTTACAGTGGATGACCATTGTCTTTTTTTATTATTTGAAATCGAAGGGAAAAGAGATCAGTGCCCCTGTCTAAATAGTCAGGTATTGCGTGTTTTAAAAAAATTTGAGGCACACTGGTTGAAAATCTCTGATCTAGAGTGTATAATCGCATAAGGAGGCTAATGTCAGCTTAAGGCTCCCACAGGCACTTGGCCAAACGAAATGGATGCTGAAGCAGCAATATCATTGAGTAGCTTAGCGAAACTCTACACATGGATATACCAGGATTTGTTTATTCGTCTGTTGAAGGATATTTGGGTAATTTCCATTTGGAGCTATTGCAAATAAAGTTGCCATGAACATTTATACACAATTCTTTGTGTGGACAAATTCTTTCCTTTCCCTGGGGTAATTACCTAGGAGGGGAAAGACTGGGCCTTATGGCAGGCATATGTTTAACTTTTTGAAAACTGCCAAAACCATTTTCCAAAATGGTTTTACAATTTTATATTCCTGCCAGTAGTGCATGAGAATTGTAGTTGTTCTATATCCTTGCCAACACTTGGTACAGTTGGTCTTTTTCATTTTAGTCATTGTAGTAGTATGCAGTGGTACCACATTATGTTGTTTTGTGTGTGTGTGGTTTATTTAATTGATTTAAAAGGGAGAGGAGAGAGGGATAGAAACATCAATGATGAGAGAGAATCATTGGTCGGCTGCCTCCTGAATGCCCCCTACTGGAGATTAAGCCTGAAACCCAGACATGCGCCCTGACCAGAAATAGAACCATTACCTCCTGGTTCATGGGTTGACACTCAACCACTAAGCCACACCAGCTGGACCCTCATTATGGTTTTAGTTTGTTCTTCCCTAAGGACAGTAATGCTAAACACCTTTTCATGTGCCTTTGGCTCCTATGTATCTTCTTTACGTGTCTGCTCAGAACTTTTGCCCATTTTCTAATTGAGTTGTTTGTTCTCCTATTCCTGAGTTTTAAAATTCTCTATATATTCCCTGTCAAACATTTTATTTTTCATCTCTAGAAGGTCAATATGGGTCTTTTAAATATATAGATATATCTTGCCCTGGCCGGTTTGGCTCAGTGGATATAGCATTGGCCCATGGACTAAAGTCACGGGTTTTATTCCAGTCAACATCACATACTTCGGTTGCAGGCTCGATCCACAGCCCCAGTCAGGGCACATGTGGGAGGCAACCAATCGATATTTCTCTCTCTCTTTCTCTTTCACTCTCTCTAAAAATCAATGGGAAAATATCCTCAGGTGAGGACTAACAAAACATATGTGTATATACTATGCCTCCATTTACATAAAATCTTTCCCCTACCTGTTTGAATATATGTAACAAAACTTTTTTAATGTCTTTATCTACTAATTCTATTATCTGTGTTTATATCTCTTTGCAATGATTTTTTTGTTGCCATGAGCAATATCTTCACTTCTTCCTCCTCCTCTTTACCAGACCCCTGATATTATGAATTTTACTTTGTTGAATGCTGCATAGGTTTATATTTCTATAAATATTCTTGAACTTTATTCTGGGTCACCGTCAAGTTACTTGGAAACAGTTTAATCCTTTCCAGGTTTGATTTTAGCATCATTCAGTGGCATCAGAATAACCATTCATCTATGACTAATTGTGTCCCACCACTCAGAACACCATTTTGAGTGCTTTGCCCATGCTAACGTTCTCCACTGGCTGGTGGGAGCACAGTCTATTTTCTGCTGGTTGTGAGCTCCAGGCATTTTCCCTCTGCTCCTTTTGTGTGTGGTTCTCTGTCCTCCATTAGTTTCCCCACTGCCTTTTGCCTGGTGGACTTCCTGCCATCTCTGGAGCTTGCTCTGTGGTAGCTCTCTCTTCTCTACCCTGCTTTCTCCTCTCTAACTGTACTCTGCCCCATCTCCCAGACTCCAGCTCCAACTTCTTAACTCAGGGGACCCCTGGTCTCTGCCTGGGTTCCCCAACCCTGCTTTGGAGCCTGGCAACTTCCTCCCTATAGTAAGCTAAGGCAATTCTAGGGCTTATCTTATTTGTTTCCCCATTTTCAGGAATCACTGTCAAGTACTGCCTGCTATCCAATGTCTGAAACCACTGTTTTGTGTATTATGTTATTGGGTTTCTGTTAATTGTTTCAAGTGGGAGAGTACATCCAATCACTGGTATTTTTTCTGCCCAAAAGTATAAGTTTCTTTCTTATGAGGTTACTTCTATAGTAATAACTTCTTTGCTTTTTTTTAAGTTTCACCATTTAAATATACATCCCCAGACAGTATAATTTAGTATTAACAAATTAAAATGTATGACATGTCTTTAAAACTATTTCAATGTGTAAATTTATTCCTCCATCTTTTAATTTCCTTACAGTGTCAACAAAGGGGAGTGGGGTGCTGACCTGAGTAAATGTGGAAATGAGTGGAGTCTGTAAAACTGAAGGCAAAAGGAACTGCACATAAGCATTGTGCTCTAATTGATGATAGAGTTCATGATTCTGATGCTGCTATACAAGCATAATGGAATCAAGTAGGTAAGTAGATGGATGGCACAGAGTGAGAGCCACGTTTCTCAACTGTGCAGTGAGATTCAGGTAAGAAAGTGGTATGAATTGGGAGGAGGCTAGAATAATTCAATTGGTACTGGATTTGAATTGGTAACATTAGTAAGAGCTCATGTTTAGTCTAATGTAGATACTAATGACTACATATAGGAATATTTATAGATGTGTGTGTATTATATACATGTACGAAAGCCCAGCACACGAAATTGTGGAGGCAGGGTCCCTAGGCCTAGCCTGCGATCAGAGCCATCTTCTGCCCGTTGGCCAGTCCCCAAGCCAAACACTGCCTCCGCTGCTGGGTGGGTGGGTCGCGGGTGTGCCCCGCAGCTTCCATCAGCGCCACAAGCCCCAGCAGCAGCGGCAGCAGCAGCGAGCAGCCCCCCTCGAGCTGGCAGAGCGTTCCATCTGCGGCCAGCCCCTGTGCACGCACATGGAGGTGAAGTGGCCAGCGCCCGTTTTCCCACAGACCTGAGCCCCCGAGCAGCCAGGGATGAGCTGGGGATCCCAATGGCTTGACAGCCAGCTGGGTCCTCCTGCCACCCCACCCACCCGGGTTCCCCAGATCACCATCACTGGTCCATTGGAGCCTACGGGCCGGGGGGAGGGACCAAGAGGTCAGCCGTTCCTCCCTCTTGCCAGTCCCCCGTCCTGCCCCGCCGCCACCCACCCACTTCCCTGTGGTTCCCCGTTTGCCTGTGGGCAGAGGTGAAGGATGGAGGAGGTGGGGGAGGGGAGGAACCAAGAGGTGGTCAATGCACCTTATGGCAACTGGTCGAGCAGTCATTCCAGTCATTACGTTTATGGTCCCTGGCCTTTTACTATATAGGATATGTCTTTGTCAGATGAGAGAGCTCAAAAGAGCTAACACCCCAGTAGCAATGCATACAATTTATGCCCATGGTATTGGTTTCTAATACCATTTCCAATAAAAGGAACCAGGGTTTCTTGGAGAAATGGCTGATTTCAGGATTAGCAAAGAAGTATACAAGATGAGCATGGAACATCTTAGAATGTCAGAAAAGTAAGGAAATACAAAAATGAAAACAAAACAAATAAACAACGAAACACCACATTCATGAGGGTCTGTCAAAGGAACTCAGGAGCCAAAGGAAGAAGCTCCCAATGGCCAAAGCTAGAATGATTTGAGCCACAAAATTATTAAAGCACTAGTGGCCTGGTGCACAAAATTCATGCATGGCGGGGGTGTCCCTCAGCCCAGCCTGCACCTCTCCAATCTGGGACATCCCTCTCGCTATCCGGGACCGCTGGCTCCTAACCGCTCACCTGCCTGCCTGCCTGATCACCCCTAACCACTCTGCCTGCCAGCCTGATCACCCCCAACTGCCCCCCCTGCCAGCCTGATCACCCCAACTGCCCTCCCCTCCTGGCCTGATTGTCCCTAACCACCTCTGCCTTAGCCCCACCACCATGGCTTTGTCCTAAAGGATGTCCGGAAGGTCTCCCAGAAGGTCTCCCAGTCTAATTAGCATATTACCCTTTTATTAGTATAGATAGAGGCCTGGTGCATGGGTGGAGGCCGGCTGGTCTGCCCTGAAGGGGGTCTTGGATCAGGGTGGGGGTCCCCTTGGGGGCTTGGGCCTGGCCTGGGCGAGGGGCTGGGGTGGTATGCAGGCCGGCCACACCCCCATCAGGGTGGGGGTGGGGGGTCCCTGCTGGGGGCCGTGGCCAGCCTGGGTGAGGGGCTGAGGGCCATTTTCAGGCTGGCCACATCCCCTTCAGGGGGTCCCAGTTGGGGGGCATGGCTGGCCTGGGCGAGGGGCTTAGGGCCGTTTAGGGGTGGTTTGCAGGCCGGCCAAGACCCCGGCTTTGTCCAAAAGGATGTCTGGAAGGTCTCCCAGTCTAATTAGCATATTACTTTTATTAGTATAGATTATTGGATTATCACAAATATAAAATAAGTGTTTGAGTCCATATCATTATAGATAAATGATTGAAAAATAAGTAGGGAAAAGAAACAATCTCCCATGCAGAAGAATCACAACTAACTTATGTAGATACTTGACTCTCAAGGAGAGGGAGCATAAATCTCTACCTCTTTAAATATGCACTGTGCACACTTCCTTCCAAATAATATTAAGGAAATGGAGAGAAGAGTAACTTCATGGTGAAGAAACTTGGCAAACACTGTCTCAGGCAGGTAATCATGATCAATATCAATACTGATAAATCATGTTGATAACATGTAGTCTTAATGTGACGTTGTGATGAAAATGACACTCTATCTCTCTGGACCTTCCTCCAAAAACCCATAACCTCAGGTGAATCATGACGAAAACATCAGGCAAATTCCAATAGAGGGATAACCCACAAAATACCTGGCCAGTACTCCTCAAAATTGTCAAGGTGTCAAAAACAAGGGAAGTCTGAGAAACTGGCAGGGCCAAGAGGAGCCTAAGGAGACATGAGGACTAAATGTAATGTGGTGTCCTGAATGGGCCCTGAAACACAAAAAGAAATTAGGTAAAAACTAAGGAAATCTGAATAAACTGTGAACTTTCATTAATATTAATGTATCAGTATTGATTCATTAAATGTAATAATACTAAGGTAAAATGCTAATAATAGGTGAAATTGAATATGGTGGTATATGGGAACTCTCTGTATTATCTTAATGTACCTGCTCAATTTTTCTGTAAATATAAAACTGTTCTAAAAAATAAAGACTGCCCTAGCTGGTTTGGCTCACTGGATAGAGCGTTGGCCTGGGGACTGAAGAGTCCCAGGTTCGATTCCGGTCAAAGGCATGTACCTTGATTGCAGGCACATCCCCAGTAGGGGGTATGCAGGAGGCAGCTGATCGATGCTTCTCTCTCATCGATGTTTCTAACTCTCTATCCCTCTCCCTTCCTCTCTGTAAAAAATCAATAAAATATATTTAAAAAATAAAAAATAAAGACTACTTTTAAAATAGAATCCTGATACCCCAAAGCAGGCATGTTTCTTTCTTGTGATAACTCCCCAAATGCTCGGCCTGCAGTGAGGCTGTCTGCACAGTAACAACAGGCAAGTTCTGTTGCTCTTGGCATCTCAATTTAATTTCTTCTACCTCATGAAAATTGCAGCTAAACCCACTGATTGACTTGGTGTCCCAATGTCAATATTCTATCTCTTCTCATTGACATTCTAGACCTGGCATGTCTGTGGACTTAAGTAGGATTTTCTGGGTGCTGTTCCCCACTCCTCAAAAGCGTCTCCTAACAAATACCTAGGGAATGATTCCGTTTTGACTCCTCCATAGACCTGGACTAGTGACTGCGCGCCCTTCTCCTGGTTGTCCATTATTTCCTAGACCAGCTCTGCTTTAGTAATTAGCTAAATTGTGCACAACAGTTTCAGCTTCACTGCTGTCCATGTGCTCTTTCCTTCTACTTGTCACCTTTCGTCTACAATTAACTTTCTACTTATTCCTTTCTGTTTGTCGGTGAAGGGGGGGAGGGAATAACATGCCCAGAACTAGCATGTATTTCCGAGATTTTTTTAAAGAAAAATTCTCACCTATATCCAGTTTCTTCTGCATCTATTGACAAAGATTTTCCTACAACAGTTGAAAACACTGCCTGAGAAGTTGGTTTGCCAGCCTCCCCTACCCTGTCCTACCTGTTGTTGAACCCCCACTGGCTTTGCATGCTTGTGAAGGACATGTCATAGTGGCATTTCTTCCCTGACTAGACAGGTGAGTAGAAGGTTTCCTCACTCTGAGTAAGAGAGCATAGGCCTCTCTCCCTGACATCATGTAATAATTAGACTCTTTCATTTAGTGAGAAATAGAGACATAGATGGGCTACCTCACTTAATGGGGTTTTCTTCTAAAGATGGTATAAGAAAGGGAAAGAGAAGTGTTTCAGCAGCCACACCACAGGATAATGAAGAACTAGCACCAAGGGCTCCATAGAATGGAAATTCATTGATTCTCTGCTTCTATTTCTATTTCTACCCCTACCAACTGACGGAATGGTTGTCTCACATTCCAGCTATCCAAGTGACAGGTCCGAATTTGGTCTGCCTGTCACAATCCAATTTAAGCTCCCCGCAAAAGCTTTAGTGCTAGCATATATTTTAAGTATCTGGCCAGCCTATAGATAGCTGCCTTTGGATCACGTGCCCATCTGGAGTCTAATCACCTGGGACCAGGAAATGGGGTTACGTCATCTAAAATCAACAATTAATTCATTAGGAAGCACCAAGATGGGGTTTGTAGGTCAAGAAGACACAAGAATTGCATACTCGTCTCTTGCAGAATAAACCTGTTTTTCCCAAATTCCTTTCATTGGAAACATCAATTCTTTGTACTGTCAATGGGTATTTTGTGGGGGGAAAAATGGTCCTGTGATAAGTTTCACTCAACAAATATTTATAAGGGAAGTACCAGGCACAGTTCTATCACTTAAATGTTTGGGAAATGCTGGGTAAGCAAAGAAAATTGATATTTATACTGTAAAATCTCTACTGTTTTTAGCTCAAGAGAAAGGCTCTAGTTTGCGCTGTCTCCCAAATTTATTAAACCAGTGCTCTTTTTCTGAAAAGCATATATATATATATATATATATATATATATATATATATATATATATATATGTTTTTATTGATTTCAGAGAGAGGAAGGGAGAGGAAGAGAGATAGGAACATCAGTGATGAGAATCATTGATCAGCTGCCTCTTACCCACCCCCTACTGGGGACCAAGCCCACAACCAGGGCCTATGCCCTAACTGGGAATCAAACTGTGACCTTCTGGTTCATGGATCCACGCTCAACCACTGTACCACACCAGCCAGGCTGAAAAGCATTTCTTATGCCTCAGATTACACAAAAGCTATATCTTGAGAAATACCAGATTTTATAATTTAGGATCCAGGAAGTGAAGTTGTCAAGAGACACATACTATAGTAGCTAGTCTCCGCAGGTTCACCCCTCTTGGTATTCCCACCCTTGTGTAGTCCTTTTCACACTGAATCTAGGCTGACACTGTGATTATTTTAGCCAACAGAATGTGGCAGAAGGAAGACTGACAACTTAAGAAGCCTGGCTACCTTGTCAAAGAACTACATGGCCAGGGCGAGTAGTTGTTGTTTTAAGCCGCTAAGTTTTCAAGTAGTTTGTTAGGCATCAATAGGTAAACAAACAAACAAAAAAAATAGATGAACTGTTTTGGAAAATTTATTATATTGTGCCCCAATTCTATTTATAAATGCATATGTCTGTTTCAGAAATAAATCTTTTTAGAGCAGGGGTCGGGAACCTTTTTTTCTGACAAGGACCATTTGGATATTTATAACATCACTCACTTAATAAAGTTCACTTAATATAAATTTTTGTTGCTATGAAAAAAGCTCCTAGATTTATTGAATTTTGAGTCCTGCCTGCAGTTGCCTTGTCAGGGCCAGACTAAATGATGTCGCAGGCCTAACATGGCCCGTGAGCCCCGGATGTTTCCCACCCCTGATGTAAAGAATATTTGTAAGATTTTATTTGAGCTAAGCTGATGATATGCCTGGAACCAAATAGCAACATATTGAGAAAGATGCGTCTCAGCATGGCAGTTTGCAGCTTCTTTTATGCATTCTGAATTAAGGGGGAAGCATAAGGAAGATTACATGGGCGTGGGAGAAAGCAAGCAGGAAATGGAAGATGGATCTTTTGACAAGACTATGTGCTCTCTGGAGGGTTGTTAGGCTTCTGAAAAGAGACATTTCAAAGGTGTGTTAAACTAGATGCCCAGAAACAATGGACAGGGTTTGCTTAACCCTTTTTATGCCATAAGCATCTATAGACACAAGCAGCGATTTTTAAAATTAAATTCAAAATATTGTGGCATATGGAGATGGTTCCATTTTGGACATGTGGCAGTTAACTGGTTAAGGCAAAGATAAACCTTTTACTAAAAAAAGTAATATGCCTGGGGCATGAGGACACCCCAAGACCTGTCCAGTTAGGAATGTATGATCAGATCACCCTGTGAGGCTACTTCCCATAGAACCCCTTTTCATACACAAGTATTTCCTTACAAATACTTAAATAATATCATTATTTACTGCAATCATTTGCCTTCATTTATTTTTTAAAATAACCACATTATCAGTGAAAATTAAACATCAAATAAAGTTATAAAATATTTAATCATAGAAAAGCCCATTTAATTGTGCATATTTCTTGCAGTAAACAAAATTAAGATATTTCCATACAATAAGGAATTAAGAAAAAAATTGGATTGAACTTGAGGCATCCATTTGTTTATAATAGAAAAATCTAATTTAAAAG